CTCCCTCTCCCTCTCTCCCTCTCTCCCTTTCTCTCTTTCTATCCTCCCTCTCCCTCTCTCATCTCTCCCTTCAAATAAAAATAAAATCAAATACTGGCAATACATTTTTATATATTCTTGGTGTTCGTGTTCATTTTCAGTTAGATTACACTAAAACCAGTCCACGTATGTAATGGGTTTCACAATACCTAGCCTCCCGCATGGAGCCGGCAGAGATGAGCCTATCTGAGCTAGCTGGTGAAGAGCAATGGTAAGACGAAGGCTGCCGGAAGAGGAGAGGTAGCGAGGACTCTGGCTCTTCCTCTCCAGAGTGGGGAGACAGCAGCCCAGGCCCAGAGCTTAAGGGAAAAGAATATTCCAGACCAAACTGTTTTAGTTCTAGAATCCTGTGCCTATAATTAGAAATTATTTTAAAAAATAAACCACCATATAAATCGTGTTGTAAGCAGTCTGTATCCTTGCCTTGGAGAAAAGCTAGTGCATTTTCCTGCTTGTTTTCATGTAACTTAAGGGAGTTCACCTCAGGTACCGTCAACACTGCTGGCTCCCAAATGGCAGCTCTCGCCTTGGAACAAGGCACCTGTGATACCTCCACAGTTTCTGCCACGGTGCTCAAGCTTTCAAACTTCACAGCACATCAGCCAAATGGAAATGAGGCTTTCCGTAATATTTTATCCAGAGACTCAGAACACTTGGAACTGCCTGTAGCACAAATTGTGATGAAAGCAGAGAAGAACAGGAGTATTAATTCAGAATCAAAGCTGTTTCCAGTTAGCAACAAAAAGAGCCCTGCGTTCTGGAGTAGCCCTCTTCCCAGTGCCTCCTCTGCCTCTCCCTCTGTGAAGGGAGAAGCCAGCCGTGCAGCATGGGCCTCCCACCCTGGTCACACGCACACCAGGGAGGAGCTTCTGGCCCCTTTGGAAATGGTGTTTTCCCCTTGAAATGTGTTCGCTTTATTCCCTCTTTCAGATATGTCCTTCCACGGGTTTCCTCTCTTAGCATTCAGAAGAGGAAGAATAAATTCTTTTTAGGACTAGTTTCAAATCAGTTGTCAGTAAATTTTTGCAAATCTCTTTTTTTTTTCAAGAGGAAAGAAGAGTGCGGGGGAAGAGATGGGAGAGGAGGAAGGGATAGCTAGGCCAGGCCACAGCCAGGAGCCAGGAACTCCATCTGGGGCTCTCACAGGTGCAGGGACCCACCTACTCGAGCCAACACCTGCTGCCTCCCGGGGTGCGCATTAGCAAGAAGCTGGGTCAGAAGCACAGAAGAGCAAGGACTTGAACCAGGCGCTTGCGGATAGGGGATGCAAACACTCCAGGCAACAGCTTACCCTGCTGCCCCACAATGCCTGCCCCAATTTCTCAAATGCTTTGTTGCCTGCCTCCCTGTGGCTGTGTGTACGTGTGCACGGGGCGGAGGTCCCGTGCGGCTTCTTTCTTGGCTCCCACTGAGCAGCGCGCCCTTCCACAATCACTCAGCTCTCCACGGGTTCTTCCGGCACGGCAGGCTCTTCTTTCCCTCTGCTCTCTCTACTCCCTGATGAGGCACGGTGCACATCCTTCATTTTTGTGCTTAGTTTCTATTTGTTCAGAGTCAACTTCCTAAACTCGGGATTGTTTCTTGTTAAAGAGCAAGTTATAATCTTTAACTGTCAAACTGGACTCAATACAGCTCCAGAAATAGCTCTTAAACTTAGCAGCATCTCTGATGAAGTGGAGGAGCCTTTTGGGAATGTGTCATTATTGCTTTTTAAAATTTTATAATCTACTAAATGACATGTGAGGGCATTTTCAAAAGCTCATGGAAAAGTAGAGTTAAAATATGTCTATCTTGGTGCAAAAAAATTGAAATCCACACACAGTTTTTTTGTAACACACATTTCTTAAGAACTTTTTGAAGACCTCTCAAATGTACGTATTTTTGAAATTAAAATCTGGACGTCTTATTGTTGCAAACGTTCACTCTCCTCCCTGTCCATTCTTCTCTGCTCCCCAAACTCACTACCCAGAAGAAGCTGAGTTCAATTATTTCAATTGTTTCTCTCCATGTCTGGCTGATGCTTCTTATTTATTTAACAAAAAATTTTTTAAATCTACATGAAAGGTGACAAAGGTTCATTCCCCAAAACCCCACACCAGCCAGTGATGGGCCAGGTCAAAGCCAGGAGCCAGGGCTCCACCTCAGTCTCCCACACGTGTGTCAGATACCCAAGTACGTTAGCCGTCACCTGCTGCCTCCTGGGGCACATCAGCAGGGAGCTGGAATAGGAGGGACTCAAAGCCAGAACTCAAAGTTGGCACTCCAGTATGGGAGCCTGGCTTCGCAAGCAGCGGTTCAACTCTCCATGCCACAGCACCCACTCCTGCTGTATGAATTTTAGACAGGGGCCGGCGCTGTGGCATAGCAGGTAAAGCCACCTCCTGCAGTGCTGGCATCCCATATAGGTGCCGATTCTAGTCCCAGCTGCTTCACTTCCAATCCAGCGCTCTGCTATGGCCTGGGAAAGCAGTAAAGATGGCCCAAGTGCTTGGTCCCCTGCATCTATGTGGGAGACCCGGAGTAGGCTCCTGGCTCCTGGCTCTGGCCCAGCTCCGGCTGTGGAGGCTATCTGGGGAGTGAACCAGTGGATGGAAGACCTCTCTCTCTCTCTCTCTCTCTCTCTATCTCTATCTCTATCTCTATCTCTATCTCTATCTCTCTCTGCCTCTCCTCTCTCTGTGTAACTCTGACTTTCAAATAAATAAATAAATCTTTAAAAAGAAGTGTTTTAGACAACGCCAACTTGATATGCTAGCTAGTAGGTGCGGCTGCATTGTCTAACCTTCACCCGCTACACCTTACTCCCATCTGCCCGAGAGTTAGATTTCAATGTCTGGCTAAGTCAGCAGCCTCTGCTTACTGTAACAGGACTATAAAAATCGTTGCTACTGCTCAATCAGGTGGTACACTTGTTTCCATTTTGTACGACTTTTTACTCTTCCTAGAATTAATAATCGCCCCCTTTATATTTTTATTTGTTCATTTCTGTATATCGACCTCTACTTTTTTTTTCAAATGCCATAACGTATCTGTCACAAAGCTAAAAAATAACCTTTTCTGAAAACTAAATCATGGCAAATCAGTTCCACCTTTCACCTCTGCAGACTTCTCTCCTACAGCTTTGAATCCTCCTGCTCCAATGTGGTTTTGGGATCCAGGGCTGCAGCGTCGCCCTCATTCTGGAACATTCTTCCAGTAATGCCTTAGTCTCCTCCATCTTCTGTTTCTTGGATGTCAAGTCTTCCTGTTCCTTTATTTACTTGCTCTTTTTTTGTGTGTGTGCATATGTGTGGAATGTTCTCCAGTCATTTCCCAAGAAGCAACACACATAGGAGATAAAATTTCCGAGCCTTTGAATATCGTAAAATATCAAGATTAGTTGATCACTTGGGTGAAGTATTTTAGGTGGGAAATAATTTTGCCTCAGTATTTCGAAGACATTTCTGCACTGCTTTCTCTTTTCCCGTACTGTAATTGTGAAGTTTTATGCCGTTCGTCAGCCCTTTATATGGAAGCAGTTTTTCTCTACTTGTTTGTCTCTTTGGGAAGGATCTTCTCTTCTTTTTGGTGATCCTGAATTTCGCTGATATTCTGACTTGGTGTGGAGTTCTTCCTGTTCATGGTGGTAGCCCCTTTCAATCTGGGAAGTCCTAGCCTTTAATCTGGGGAAATTAAAGGTTTGTATATGTTTATACTGTTGCCTGTCCCTTTTCTCTTTTCTGTGGGACTTGCAATGTCTTTTTTAAATAAAGCATTACAAAAATTTATTTAATTTATTCGAATGTATTAGTGAGTAACGGACAGGGAGGGAGAGAGAGATCTTCCATCTGCTGGTTCACTCACCAAATGTCTGCAACAGCCACAAGCTCGGCCAGGCCAAAGCCAGGAGCCCAAAACTCCATCCTGGTCTCCCGTGTGGGCGTGAGGGGCCATCTTCTGCTGCCTTCCCAGGCACGTGGACAGGAAACTAGACTGCAAGTGGGGCAGCCAGGGCTGCAGCTGTGGTTCTGAGGGGGACACAGTTGTCACACGTGGCGGCTGCATTATATTCCTGTAGCACACACCAGGCTGGCGCTCAGTGCAGCGTGTGGCGAGAGTTCCATGAACACTGTTGTCCTCACTGTGTGCAATGAGGACACTGAGGCTCACCGAGAATAAATACCTGTCCACAGCGACACAGCTAGTGGGTGAGCGGCAGAGCTGGAGCCAACTTTGGCTGGCTGTAAGGTCCATGTTCTTTTATTTATTTAGTTATTTAAAATTTATTTGAGAAGCAGAGAAACAGAGATCTCTCATCCACTGGTTTACTCCCCAAATACCCCCAACATCTGGAGCTGGGCCAGACCAACGTCAGGAGCCTGGAACTAGGTCTGCGTCTGTCACATGGGTGGACCCAGTTCTTGAGCCAGCACCACGCCTCCCAGGGCATGCATTAGCGGGAAGCTGAGTCGGGAGCAGGGCCAAGTCTCAAACCCAGGCGCTGCAATATGGGCTGCAGGCATCACACGCAGCATTTTAACGTCCAGGCCAAGCTCCTCACCCCATCCATGTTCTTTTTATTCTGCCAGGGAGAGCATTCCTGTCTTTCTGTCCATGTCCGTCCTTTCTGTCCATGGACATAAATTGCCAGCATTCATCCTCCAAAAAATAGCATAAGACTGGCCGTCTGCATTCTTGGTGACACTTTCCCAAAAGAAGGGTTTCATTTGTGATGGCCCAGGCGGTCAACACATTTTCCCAGTCAGTCACACGGAGTTCAGGCCCTGGTAGCTCTCCTGAAATATCTGCACAGTGTGGCCAAGAACTCAGGGCCGAACACCTTCCAGGTCCGGAGACCTCACCCTGAGCAAGCCAGCTCTTTCCACTGCCCAGGAATGCTCAAATGCTCAGGAGTGGACACAGTAGGTCTCACCTCTAACTTTGGACCTGGAAAATGTTCTCTCTTTCTTTTTTTTAAACAGATTTGGACAACACTTTGGACAGGTCCATTGCACAAGACGAATTTTGAAGTAGAAATGATAACACAGATTTGCTTGAATGGAAAAGGCTTTTGTTGCCTTTGTCACCATGAGGAACATCTTCAGGCTTGACAAATGTTGAAAACAGACACTGACGGGGGGTAGGGGTGGGAGGGGTCGTTCTTGTGGCCCTGAGCATATCAGGTGTCTTCAAGAAGTTTGTGGAAAATATTTTGGGGAGGAGAAACTGCATGGATTTCAAACTTTTTTGCACCAAAATAAACTTATCTTTGAATTCCATTTTTTCCATAAACTCTCTGAAGTACCCTTGTGTGTGGTAGTAGAAAGGGAACAACCCAATAATTTAAGGTGCTGAGACTATGGGAATACAAGAAACAAGAGAGATGTACCACAAGTTTAAATGCTGCTCCTCTGTTTCCTTAGCCAACCTCATTCCTGTCACCTTGAAAACATAGCTCCTCAGGACTGCCATTGTGATTTCTAGCCAAGAATTTTCTAGAAGCCAAAGGATCAGGCTGAAAGGAAGTCTCTCTGTCCTTTCTGTGGTGTTTTCTAATCCTTCTCATCTGTCAGGGTTTCCTTGAATGAGAATGGGCTGGTCAGGTCCACCAGGTTAAGTAACTAGAGGGGGCCGGCGCCGCGGCTCACTAGGCTAATCCTCCGCCTTGTGGCGCCGGCACACCAGGTTCTAGTCCCGGTTTGGGCGCCGGATTCTGTCCCGGTTGCCCCTCTTCCAGGCCAGCTCTCTGCTGTGGCCCGGGAGTGCAGTGGAGGATGGCCCAAGTGCTTGGGCCCTGCACCCGCATGGGAGACCAGGAGAAGCACCTGGCTCCTGCCTTCGGATCAGCGCGGTGCGCCGGCCGCGGCAGCCATTGGAGGGTGAACCAACGGCAAAGGAAGACCTTTCTCTCTGCTCTCTGTCTCTCTCTCACTGTCCACTCTGCCTGTCGCTTCACCCAGGACTCCCACGCGAGAGCAGCTTGGGGGGGAGGGAAAGTCATACCCCTGATTCCACCCCTGCCGTGCATCCTGGAGCACCTAGACCTTCGCCCACGTTTCCTCGTAATTCCTCCCACGCACTGGAGTGGTCGCTTCCGTTCTTATTGTCTTGGTGGGAAAACCACGTCATTTAGAATTCACCTAAGGCTACATGTCATGTAGAAGAGGATCTGGAATTGAACCCAGTGTTGCTTTGCTTTAAAATCCATGCTGTTGTCATGATTCCAGCCACACACATAGGCACGTGCACACATACGTACCTGGTACAGAGTCACTGACCTTTAGGGAAGTAATATGATGTGGTGAACGGGAGGCAGGCATGGAGCCAGGCTGCCCTACGTGGATCCCGGCAGTATTACTGGGTGTGTGCCGCAGCCCACAAATGCTTGTATTTAACCCGTGTGACTTGGTGCCCTCCACTGTAAAATGGAATATCAGGATCCGTGCATAAGATTATTGCAAGGCAGAAATGAATTTCAAATGAAAAATATTTCAAATAATGCCTGCACAGAAGAAGCATTCAATAACCAAAATTATTTCTAAAATTCCCCTGTGGGGTAAGAGACATCGATAACTCAAGAGAGTAGTCATTGGTACATTGGTCCTTGGCAATCTCTTTTTTTATAGATAATCTTTTTTTTTTTTTTACCTTGAAATATTTATTCAAGAGGCAGAGAGAGAGAGACAGGTAAAAAGACGGAGGGAGTGAGCTTGCATTTCCTCATTCCTCATTCACTCCCCAGATGCCCCCAACACTCAGGGTAGGCCTGAGGCCAAAACTGGGAGCCAGGAACTCAATCCACATCTCCCACATGAGTGTCGAGGACACAGTTACCTGGGCCATCACTGCTGCCTCCCAGGGCCTGAGTTAGCAGGAAGCTGGGGTCAGGAGCCAGAGCTGGGAATCAAACCCAGAAACTGTAATTATCATCTCCCCCACTATGCCAGACTTCCTCTCTGGAAATGTTATTTTTAATCTGCCTGGTTACCAAGCATGGTTCTTGGTAAGAAAAGGCATAGCATTCCAAGTGATGTGCAACCTGCTAAGTGTGGGCAGACCTGTTGGTGTTGAACCCAGCACACACAGGCCTCAACCAGGTAACACTAGCACGGTGGGAGTTGTGGTGGGAGAACTTCTGCAGTGCCACATGTCTGCAGCCCTGTTGTGGTGGTAGTGTGAGAATTTGCCCTTCTAACTGGAAGAAAATTTTGAGAGAAACACCCTTGAATCTGTTTCTTTATTAGAACACTGATCCTAACCCACGTGGATGAATAATCCCAAAGCCATTTAGTGGTGGTATTCTCTCTCTCTCTCTTTTTTTTTTTTTTTTTTTTTGACAGGCAGAGTGGACAGTGAGAGAGAGAGATAGAGAGAAAGGTCTTCCTTTACCATTGATTCACCCTCCAATGGCCGCTGCAGCTGGTGCGCTGAGGCTAGCACACCATGCTGATCCGAAGCCAGGAGCCAGGTGCTTATCCTGGCCTCCCATGCAGGTGCAGGACACAAGGACTTGGGCCATCCTCCACTGCACTCCTGAGCCACAGTAGAGAGCTGGCCTGGAAGAGGAGCAACCGGATCAGAATCCGGCACCCCGACCGGGACTAGAACCCGGAGTGCCGGCACCGCAGGCGGAGGATTAGCCTATTGAGCCGTGGCGCTGGCCGGTGGTATTCTCTTATCATGTTGTCCCAAACCCAGAGATTTCTCAGTTCCCTGCCCTTGGTCGCCTAGATGAGGGACAGGAAGGAGGAAAAGGAAGTAGGGATTTGGGGAAGGAGAAGGAGACACACTTTCTCTACAGGCCTGAGCCAGGAAGCCAGGAATGCAGTACTATGTCTCTTTCTCGCCTCCCTCCTGGCCCTGCTGCTGTGCGTAGGGCCGGGCAGGCCTGGGACCTGGGACCATGTCATGAGCATGGCCTTGCGTGCGTGGATTTGGGACAGGAGTCCTGAGACGTGGAGTCCCGGTTGAGCCACTCACTGTCGCTGCTCCAGACAGGTCATGTGAACTCTCTGGGTTTCCAAGTATCGGGAGCTTTCACTTCTCACATCATATGACTCCATCCTATGACTGTTTTGCTCTTTAGGCCTGGAATGAATCTGGTCAATCCAAGAAAGCATCTGGGTTTACCGAGATACACAGACAACAGTCTGAGAGCCAGCAGCCACCCATCATGGCCCCTAATCCCTGTTGTCAGTTGCAGGTGGCGCATCCTCCCCCCTGGAAGATCTGCCCCTCCCAGACAGACCGGGAAGACGGATGTTTTCACCTTGACCTCTGGCCCCCTTCCTGGCATGTCTTCATTATGCCCCCCCCCCCACTTCCAAGGGACAAGGAGCGTCAGAGGCCAACAGAGGCAGATCCTCATGCGAGTCCGGTCCTCTGTGATTTATGAAGTTACACAACAGTTTTCCAAGCCCCTGAGACCCAGAGTCAGGAAAACTGGCTAAGTCCCTCGCAGGAAAGCAAAACATTCAGAAAAATGCAATCCCAAAGGTAGGCAGTGGGGATAAAAGGAACTTTCCATTTTCAAGTCTAACATCAAACAGCCATTCTCAGTTTGATTGTATGGCAAGCCATCATTATTGGATGTAATTCTGCCACAAATAACGGTATATTGAGGTTTCTTTTTAGGAGAAATTATTTGGGGAATGTATGTAATGCACTCTACTTAAAATTCACAGTAGGACAACTATTGTAAGTACAATGGAATGTCATTTTAATCATTTCAAAAATATATTAGGGATGGATAGCTACTTTAAATTTACGTGCCAGCTATGTAAATGGCCATATATGATTTTTCATTAACCTAAATGGCAAGTAGTTTGAGACATCAACCTAAGTGCTATGCAGCCATACCACTTATAGTTTATTAAAGTAAACGGATACAAATCAATCATTGTATGGAAAACAATTTCCCCGTTGGAGAAAGAAATTGGCTTGCTAAGATAAAACACTTATTTTTTAGACTTGGAAAATAAATACATTGGTGGTGAAAATACACGATTATAATTGCTAATGATTAGTTGGCCCTCACAAAATAACTGCATCATTATTGCTGAGTGGAGCAGGACCTGTGGGAATTCTTTGTACAAGACTCTAGTACATGGACTGGTGATCGCTTAGTTCCGCTGGCATAAACAAGAATGAAGATAGCATAGTATAAGCCCTAAAGCTCAGAGTTCATGTATTGATACTATATGAGGGGTCTCCCAAAAAGTTTATGAAAAATGCATATTATGAATAATTATGCACAGATTTTACATTTTTGCTCCAAAATAAACAATGGAGTTCCACTTTGTTCCATGAACTTTATGAAGAACCCTTATGTTTCTTTAGTTTTTCAAAAAAGAGATGCTTCTGGGGGCCGGCATTACTGGTATAGTGGGTTAAGCCGCCACCTGCAATGCCGGCATCCCACATGGGCGCTGATTTGATCCTGGCTGCTCTGCTTCCCATCTAGTTCCCTGTTGATGGCCTGGGAAAGCAGCAGAAGATGAATCAAATACTTGAGCCCCTGCACCCGCGTGGGAGACCTGGGTGAAGCTCCTGGCTCCTGGCTTTGACCTGGCCCAGTCCCGGCCATTGCAGCCCTTTGGGAAGTGAACCAGCAGATGGAAGAGCTTTCTTTCTCACGCTCTGTCTCTCCTATCTCTGTAACTCTGCCTCTCACACAAAATAAATAAATCTATTAAGAAAGAAAAAGAAAGGCTTCTCACCACAGCTTTAATATCTGAAGGAATGACATGAAAATGTGAGCAGCAGTGCAACCTTAGGATCCTGTCTGTGAAACAGCCTGGAATTCTGTTGCTTTTCCTGTAGTAAAAAAAGTTCACCTTGGTTTTCATGTGAATTGTAGTTGATTGGATGATGAGTTAAATAACATTGTAAAGTAAATATATATATATGTATATATATTATGTATTTATTTGAAAGGGAGAGTGATAGAAAATTATGAGAGGTCTTCCATCCACTGGTTCACTCCCCAAATGGCTGCAGTGCCTAGGACTGGACTAGGCCAAAGCCAGGGGCCAGGAGCTCATTCTGGATCCACCATGTGGGTGGCAGGCGTCCGAGTACTTGAGCCATCCTCTGCTGCCTTCCCAGGCGCATTAGCAGGAGCTGGACCAGAAGCAGAGTCGAGACTCAAACCAGTGCTCACACGGGATGCCGGTATTATGGGCAGCAGCTTATCTCACAACACTGGCCTCAGTGAGTGTATGTTTTCACACAGCTAATTTTTCCAAGGCATGTGGGATTGATTTATTAATTGTCTTGACCAGTAACAAATCAGATTCGTTTCAGTGAGGGCCTCAAGCTCTTTAATTTGATTCAAACTCATTCACTTTTATAACACATGCATTTCCACTTAATTGTTACAGCTGCATTTTAGCTGATTTTGAAGTTGACAACTTTTCTTGAAAACAGTATGAATTTGGATGTTCCGTTCTCTTAACTGGCTAATCCACAGTTCACCCTCACTTGTGTTATGATCTGTAATACTGAAGAAACGGAAAGGAAATAAAGCATGTTTTACTGTGTAAGTGCCGTTTTAAAATCTTCATTTGAGAGGCAGGCAGAGCTGCCTCTATTCCTTCACCACCCCTGCCCTCCAAGGCCTGCAACAGCCAGCATGGGGCTGAGGCCAGAGACAGGAGCTGGGAACCCAACGCAGGTCACGCGTGTGGTGGCAGGCCCCCAAGGACTTGAAGATCACCATTACCTCCCAAGGTCTGCATTGGCAGGAAGCTGGAGTCGGGAGCTGGAGCCGGAAATTGAATCCAGGCACTTTGATGTGGGACACGGGCATCGTAACCCTTGAGCTGGATACGCACTCCTCTAGTCATCTTGATGAGTCATTCCAATTTCTGCAGTTTTTTTTTTTTTTTAACAGGCAGAGTGGACAGTGAGAGAGAGAGAGAGAGAGAAAGGTCTTCCTTTGCCGTTGG